GGCTAAGCTTTCAAGTAAGAGCCCATTTGGTCGGGCGAAGCACGCTCTAAAAGGTAATCGTTTTATCTTAATCTTGTGTTTAATTTAATTATGTTTATGGTTTTATTTATTGCGAGTGCGGTCTTTTTTTTGGGTTTTTGTTTCCGCGGTAAGTCGGACTCACCAAACCCCAACAGTGGTATCAGAGCATATAGCTGCTACCACGCGTCAAAGGTATATTTTCTATTTTTCCCTTTGTGATTATTTTATGCTTTAGTGACATTATTTATTGCGAACATGATCCTTGGCTCGGGTTTATTTCCGCAGTGAGTTGGACTCACCAAACCCCAACAAATAAGTTACCCATTTCACAAACCGGTAAAAGGCTCATTTTGAGAAGCTGGGAGTCAAAGGTGGGATTGTTTTGGGAATTCGAAAAGGTGGGATTGTTTTTAACAAAAGTGAAAAAGGTGGGATTATTAGTTTTCATTTTTCCAAAGATCAAATCCTTTCAAGCAACCAAAACCTCCTTTTAAGAGAACCGATTCTAAAGCCAAACTCATTACCCCGTTCCTCATTCCTTAATATTAGAAGTGTCTCTAATTCCTTTTTGGGTAATAAGCTGTTTAGGAGCGGGAAAAGGAAGAGGCATAAATGGAAAGTGAATTTTCTGCATGTTTTGATTGGACACGACTTTGTATGATGAATTAAGAGCCAGTATGATGTCAGAAGTGTACATCTGTGTGTTTGGTTTCATTTGTGTTCATATTGATTTTGTTCTTTGCGGTTGTGCGTGAAAAATCCATCCATTATCACTTCCACCAATTTATGCACATAACATCATCATTATATATAATAATCAAATTATTTTTTTTTTATATTTGCTAAGAAATAATTGGCATGACTCGGATACTTTGACACAAAAGCCCATAGTCTTTGGCGACCCTTTAATATTTTTCTAGCCAAAGGTAATCTCACTATTGATCTTTTGGAGTTGCTTGATTATAATGTAATTATTTATTGGAATTGTTTGGTTATAATTTGTTTATTGATTGTACTCTGCATTATTATGTGTAAATTTTATGATTCGTTATCATATGATCATGTTTGTACATATAAATTTATGGTGATATATAATTTAATTGTTATATTATCTTATTGTACTATATCGATTGATTATGTTTTTATTATAGGGTTTTAATTTTGTTGCTCTAGGGAGTATTATTTTTGAGGTTTTAGGGTTATTAGTGCAGAGTATTTTTTTAGGTTGTGAATTAATTAATTTTGGGAATTAGTTTTATTGTCGTAATAGTCGAGATATTTATGAATCAAATTGTTATGTTATTTGGGAACTTGTGCCGTTATTGAGATATTATAAATTAATTTACGAATGATTATTTGATCCAAGTATGAGATCAAAAGTTTGAACATATTATTTTGTTATTGGTTTGAGGCTCGGTGTAATACCCCTCATGATTGCTTTAAAGGAGTTTTACATACTACTCATATCAGCTAGATGCATCTTCCTTTTAAGGAGCTCATTTGCCAAGATACTCCATAGTTAAGCATGCTTGGCTGGGAGAGTCTTGAGATGGGTGACCTGCTAGGAAGTTTTCTCGGGGTGCGCATGAGTGAGGACAAAATGCGTCGGAAGGACTTGTGTTGATATGTGAGGACAACTGTTAGCCCTTGATGCGCATTTCATGACACTAGGCCCCTCCCTAATTTGTTTAGGGTCGGGGTGTTACAAAATATACCTTAGTCTTTGGCATGTTGGTAATGAGATAATGATCATGAGTTAAGAATGAGGTACAATCTTTATTTACATTTTTCTATGGTCCCCTACAATGGGATTTATCTTTATTTATATTTTTCTATGGTCCCCTACAATGAGTTTTTATACTTGTTATTTTATTTATTCAAATTACTCATGTCCAACGCTAGGTATAGAACAAAGAGCATGGCACACTATTGGTTATGAGTTAGTTGAGTGAAGGATTATATTATTATTCGAGGTTGGGTTTGACAAAGGTTATTTTTAGAGTACAATGTGTAATATAGTTTTGAACTACATTATTTAATTGAGCTAGTAATGTTGATTATCCTATTATACTATTGTAAACACCCATTTGTGTCTCCCCAAAACCAAAACAGTGATGAATATCTTTCACGTCATTTGATTATCGAACAAAGCGAAAGTGTGAAAAGTCTAGTGATGAGGATTTTTTATTAAAATATCTCTTCTTTCTGTTTTTGAAAATATTTCTTTTCTTACCTTATTTTTGAAAAACGTGCATTCCATTTTTGTTTGGTCCATGATATGGGTCAAATAATGGTGTAGTTTGATGGGGCTTGAAAAGCCCTTTCCAGCGACATATTATAAGCCCAATTCCAATGAATAATGAGGAAGTTATGGCTAAAATACTAAACTGGGCCTAAACCGGATTTTACCTACGACCCAATGATCATGTGGAGGGTCCAAAGGTTTAACCCTATTCCTAAACTAATTAGGATTGATTAGAAGCTTCTATAAGTTTATAAAAGATCTTAATTATCCTTTTTGAAAAGATAAGATTAAAGAATTTGAGTTAAATAAAAACTTTCCTTTTTTAAAACTATCTTTTTTCTTAAATCCTAATTCTATTCGAATTTAAAGATGTTCAAAGACAGTCAAATTTTATTTTCGTGCCTCATAATCTTTAGCCAAATTTTATATTTGGATAGATCTTGAAATTATCTTTCCAATGATATATTATAATATCAAATCCGAGTTATAACGAAAAAGATATGAATGAGATATGAAACTCTATCCAAAACTGACACCGTCCCACTATTTCGGCCATATCTTTTTATATACAAAAGATTTTAATCTGATTCTAATTGGGTTGGAAAGTAGACTTCAAGATCTTTCCAACTACATATTATATGCATTATTTGGACTTCAGGATCAAAAGATATGATAAAAACAAAATCCACAAAAACTGTTGTCCATCGAGTTCTATTTCGATTCGAATTCGGATTCTTTTCTTATTCTTCGACCCTCTTTTTTTTTCTCTATAAATAGAGGTCATATCTCCCCTTTTCAATCAAAAAACTCTCATCAAGAATTTCTTGATTCCCTCTCTCTTTCTAAACTACCCTTTTACAAACACAATTCCTCATACATTGGCACTAGACACACCTAGCCAAGTTCGAACGCCCTAGACGTGAAAGTTTTGATATTTCTGAGGGTTTGGTCCCAAATCTAGTCTAAAATTTCTAATATCTATTTCAATTATTTAATTTAATTGTTTATTTTATTATTTTCCTTGAAGTTACTAACGTGTGTATTTTGTTATTAGAAAGAGATACGAGGCATCCAAGTAAGTACTTTAATGGTTTAATTGATATTATGATATAGAAATCATGCTTAGGTTATTATGATTCTTAGTATCATGTTAGGATGTTTTTCTTAATTTGATGTTTAGGGTGACAACAATAAATTCCTAGTATCATGTCTAGGGTAACTTTAATACCAAGTATGATTAAAAGTATGATGCCTTTTATGTTCTTCCTAATGTTTATATTTGTTAGTATCATGTTAGGGTTAAAGCTTTGATTTTTATTGTTTAGTGACATGCTAGGGTTTGTTATTAATCTTGTTAGTATCATGCCTAGGATCTTGCTATTATTATGCTTTAACATGATTATTTTTATAATTGTTATAATAATTGTTATTGTTATGATGGTTATTATCATGTTGCTTGATTTATTGTTATTGCTTGATCACACCTTTTTATGCATGTTTAAAGGGAATTGGTACTTGTAATCACGCTTAATAAGATAATTATTAATCTTGTTTAGGGTTAATTATGATTATAATTCAAGTGATCGCCAATAATAGGTTTATTTGTGCATTATATTCAACAAACATAGATAAACAGGTTTAGGTTAATTCTATTGATTGCATGTTAGTCAGAAAGCGCACATGAATACGATCTGAATAAAGTAGAGGCTTATTATTAGGGTAGGTTCAATCTCTTTTAGGTTAGATTTTTAACTTCATCCCCGAACCCTATTTGGTTCAAGACCTTATGGAGTTGACGATCTCTTGGATCGTTAAGGGGTGTAACCTTCACCTCGTGAACGGTTTACAAGTTCCTAAAAAAAACTTGTTGGCGACTCTTTTGCTCTATCTTCTTTCCCTTTGGACGCCACCGTACTTTAGTGTATGATCACAGTGGGGTTCAAGCTAGGGGTTAACGCTTGAAATATTCCCTACAACTATGTATTCTGATATGTGATGATTACTAAGCTTTTTGCTGACGTGTGTGTTGTTTTGTTGTGCTATTTGTGTTTGCGGCCATGTCTTTTTCTTATTATGGCCTTGCGATGATCTTTTTTGGAATTTGTTATTAATGTGAGAAGCTAAGATTTTCTAAGCAAGTTGATCAAGTGATCGTAGCTAAAGAATCTCAAGTGTTTCAATTATTAGTTTGTTATAACGAGTTGTAAAGTTGTATAAATAGCTCGCATAGATTATATAGTTGTAATTATTGGGATTTTGTAAGCCTTAACACTTGACAGTTGTCGAGTGTGGCAGTAATACCTTCGATTTAGATGTATGCTTCCGCGGTTTTATTTAAAGGTTGTTTATTTTTCCTTTAATTCTTATTTACTTCCTCGGTTCTTTTTTGCTTGACCCGCTTTGACTTTTATACTATTCATCACCCCTCCTTTGACCGTCTTTTGTGAATGATATGTAAGGAAAAATATATTTATGTGAGATCTTTTTGAATTTGTTCCAATAAGTACTATCATAATATACAATTTTTTATAATTTTTACTTACGGAGAAATAAAGTTATTGATCGCAAAAATTTTGCATTGGCAAGCGTGATAAAAGAAACAGGTCAAGTAAAAAAGAACAGTGGAAGTATTAATTAGTAAGTCGGGGGTGTTACACGGACTCCCCTAAAGTCCCTTATATTAGATCTTTAGTCCGCTCGTGTGGTTTAGATGTCTTGTTTTTTTATGGAAACTATGGTTTCTGTAGATATTGCTGCAAAAAAGATGTATGGTGTTCCTTTTTCGGGATTTTTTGGTACAGATGCAACTGGTTTTGAGTGGTGGTTTGTTTTTGTTGTGGTTTTCGCCGCTTCAAACAGTTTTCATTTTGATTACTTCAAATTTCATCTTCTGTAAAATACTTGTGGTCTCTATAATAAAAATATGTAGTGTTTATATATGGGGCGCCCCATGTCATTGACCGGCCCCAAATTTGGTCTGCTCTCAAACTCTCGCTTGGTTCTACTAGGGGATTTTAACCAGTGGATTTTTTTATCGGATAAAGTTGGTGGTATTACTTCTATACCTAATCGTCATGAATTCATGGACTGGCGCTTACAATCAGGTTTATTGGAAGTTCCTTTTTTAGGGCCCGAGTTTACTTGGACAAATAATCGTTTTGATGTTGACTCAACTTTTGAGCGTCTAGATAAGGCTTATGCGAATTCTTCTTGGGTTCAGGAGTACCCAGATATAGCTGTAATTCACCATCCTAATCTGTTTTCAGATCATGCTGCTATTATTCTATCTGTCTCAATTGAGGATAGTAGAGTTCATCAACCTTATAGGATAGAAAATTGGTGTTTATCGACAAAAGATATACACTCTATAGTTGACTCTGTAGTTTCAATGGTCGTCGTTGGTTCTCCGATGCTTTCTCTGTCTTGGAAGTTATCTCTCATTAAGGAACGTGGCGCCGTTGCCGGGGAATTAAGGCGTTACTTTTTAATTGTTTATCTTAGTAGAATTTATTTTAGGACTGTTCTTAGCTATCTTTCTTTGTTTGTTCGCTAGGGTATGATAAGTACCCGTTCTGCTAACAAAGAAGTTTTGCAGTTTGATCCAGAAATTGAAAGGAATATTTCCAGGTTGCGAAAAGAGGCAAGAACAACCCCCAGTGAATCAACGTACTCCTTCAATATTCAAGAAGAAGAGGAGATGGCTGACAATCGAACTCTAAGAGAACTTACAGCCCCTAACTTGAACCAACAGCCGTTGTGCATTGCATATCAGCAATTGGAGGAAGGTACTAATGTTGAGATCAAATCCGGTCTAATTCATCTATTGCTGGCATTCCATGGCATGAAAGGCGAAGATCCGAATAAACATCTGACAGAATTTCATGTGGTTTGCACTAGCATGAAACCGATTGGGATGACTGATGAACAAATTCAGTTGAGAGCATTTCCTTTTTCTCTCAAAGATGCAGCAAAGGATTGGTTTTACTATCTTCCCCCAGGTAGCATAACAACTTGGGCAGATTTAAAGAAGTGTTTTGCTGCTTTAGCCGCTGCTCAGGACCCGTTGGCAGCGGCTAAAGCAGCAAAACACTTCGTCCTCTCTGGCTGACCCGCTGCCAGCGGCTCTGGCCAGCTGCCAGCGGCCCTGGCAGCGGTTCTGCTGTCTTCTGCTGTCTTCTTTGCTCTTTCTTCTAGCTTTGCTTCACCTTTACTCAAGCTTTCTCCCTTGCTCTTCCAAGCTCCAATCCGCTTCTCAAATCACGAGCTAAGGTCCATACTCTATAATCCTCCTCATTAGTTCCCGAACTCACTCACTAACACCTATAAATCCCGGCTTTTGCACACAAGTGAGATCACTGCCCGAAACTCACAAAAGCTATTAAAAACTCATGCACAACATCAAAACACACCCTAAAACTCTTCTCTCAACCCTTGATAAGACGGCTTATCAGAACGTCTGTTAGTTTGGTGCACCTCTCATAAACGATTGTGGGGTACTGATTGGAAGAATCTAGTTGTGTCTATTGGCCAGGCAGCCTCTAGTTTGCATACTCAAGTTGGTCGATGTCTTTTTTTCACTACAAAGGAGGAAAAGGTTGCGGAGGCTCAGGCTTCCTTTATGTTTTGGTATCAGCGTGCAAAGGTTAATTGAGATGCCACTGGAAAGAGTCATTCTCGTCTCCTTTTCTCTTTGGTTCAGTCTTGTCGTCATCGCTATAAGATTCACAGCTTGATCTGATGTCCTTAGATGGTTCTTGGTTAACGGATCCTGTGGGTATTAAGTCTATGGTGCTCTCGTTTTACAAGGATTTGTATGATGTCCAAGGGTCGTCTCTAGTGACAGACTCTTCTTGGTGGGATTAGATTCATCTACCCTCTCTTTTTTCTGAATAACAAAATAAAATGTTAATTCCCTTTTAAGCTTTGGAAATTAAGGTGGCCATCTTAAGTATTGATGATAATAAGACTCTAGGATTAGATAGTTTTACTTTGGCTTTTTTCAAGATTCATTGGCAGTTAGTCGGTTCTTTTGTGGTTGGAGCAGTTCAATATTTTTTTACTCGTGGCGATATGTTGAAAGAGTAGAATCGTACTTTCTTAACTCTGCTTCCTAAGGTTGACAACTCGGAGCTTGTTACGCAGCTTCATCCTTTTGGTCTTTGTAATGTTCTTTACAAGTGCATCACCAAATGTATTACTGCTCGGCTCCGTCTTGTCTTACCTTCTTTGGTTTTTGATTGCCAGAAGGCTTTTGTTCCAGGACTTCTTCTTATGTCAGACAATGCTCAAATCGCCTATGAACTTCTCTCGTTCATTAATGCTTCAATGGTTAGGAAACGGTTTTATGCTGCTTTGAAATTGAACATGAACAAGGCCTATGATCGGGTTCGCTGGGATTTTTTAGTTCATGTTTTAAAAGTCTTTAGCTTTCCTCCACACTGGATTCATATTATACACCAGTGCGTCCCTACATTCTCTTATCAGGTGTTGGTCAATGGGGATGCGTCTCCCACCTTTCTCCCACAGTGTGGTCTTTGGCAGGGTAATCCGCTTTCTTCATACTTGTTTTTTCTTTGTATGGAAGTTCTTTCTGCCATGTTGCGCAGTGCGGAGGAGCAGTCGTTAATCAAAGGCATTTGTATTTTGCGGGGAGCAGCTTCTATTTCACATTTGTTCTTTGCAGACGATTCCCTGTTGTTCTTCCAAGTGTCTCCATCTGCTTGCGATAATCTGATGGGCCTTCTTTTGGATTTTTGTGGTATGTCTGGTCAAATGGTCAATCTGCGGAAGTCCTTTATTAAATTTATTCAGAACACTCCTTTAGATTATCGGGTTTATTTAGCTTGTAGTTTGAGGCTTCAATGTAGGGACTCTTTGGATTCTTATTTGGGATTACCAAAGCGTCTTTTTTATTTTGCTTCTCTTCAACTTTCTTTTGCCGCTAAGTTGGCGATTATCAATTCAGCTCTTGTGGCTTCATTCAACCATATTTTGTCTGTGTTTCAGATCCCTTCCTCGATATGTTAACATGTTGATCTAATGCTTGCTCGTTTCTGATGGCGTTCCTCTTGTTCGTCTCGAAGGATGGCCCTTCGCTCTTCTTCTTTGCTTCATCTTCCTAAAGGCTTGGGCGGACTAGGGCTCTGCAGTTTACAAATCTTTAATTCTTCCCTGCTTGCCAAGCAGAGTTGGCGTTTATATCAGCATATTAATCTCCTGGTTTCGCGTGTGTTATTATCAAAGTATTCCTCCCTTCAACCTTTGCAGCCTAATCGGATTTCATGGCCTTCATGGGTTATCGAGGTCTTTTGACTGGTATATCCACCCTAGCTCAGGGGATTGCGTGGAAAGGAAGTTCAAGGACTCAGGTTCGTCTTCTCGAGAATATTTGGGCCACGGGGGGGCATGTCTCCTTCAAATCCGGTCTAAGTGAGCTGGATGTTCCAACTAATAATGTTTCTTCTATTACTGATCCGCGTTCATACGCGTGGGATACTTCGAAGGTCCATCGATTTTTCGACAATATTACGTCTTCGAGTATTTTGTTTATTGGAAATTTGCACTTGACGGTCAGTTTTCCACTAAATCGGCTTATGCATTGCTAATTCGCCAGTCTATGGCGTCAGTGGCTAGTGATCCGGTACTGCCTTCGTGGTGGAAATGCTTTTGGGGAATGCCAATTATGTCCAAATTGAGGGTGTTTTGCTGGAAATTGCTTCATGATGCTTTACCTCTTTCTGGTACTTTGCATTCCCAAGGATTTCCTATTAACCTCGTTTTTGTTCTTTGTCATGATAACTTGGAAGCGACTTGACATTTATTTCGGAATCGTTCGTTTGTTTCTCATCTCTTGATCACTGACCCCTTGTGTAGACACCTAAAAAAGTCTCCCCAAAACCAAACCCGATGATGAACAACCTTTCATGGCCATTATTGGTCAGGTTGAGTATTTAATCCCGAGAGTGCTTAAAATTCATATTCGATCAAACTCTATTCATAAAATCAGTCCTAATGTTAGTCAAAGCATAGTCCAATTTATTTTTTGGCCTAAGCCTTTTTTATTCATTTCATATTATTTATTATTTTAGCCTAATTAATAAATAATAAACCTAAATAGCCCGAAATTATGAAACGACACTTAAAAATGTAGAGCGTAATTAGGATTAAAATGAATTTGGACGTAAAAGTTGAAAAAAGTCCACCGTGTCACGGCATATGTGCCGCGCCACGGTGGAATTACCCTCGTTGCGGCAAAGTTTCCGTGTCACGGTACACACCGCGACACGGGAATCCCGTGTTTTCTCCGTGTGAGCCTAAACGCGCTTTATCCTTTTTAGGGCTGCTGATTTCCCGCGTCACACCTAATTTTCCCGTGTCACACCAAATTTTGCCGTGTCGCGACATTTATTTTTAGGGTTTTATCTTTTTAGGTTCCGTGTGTTCCTTTGCTCACTTCCTCTATAAATACCCCCTCATTTCTGCAGTTCGGGGCATTTATTAATTCACTCTTCTCTCTTCTATGCTCTAGCCTAAACACTAGCCTACCTTATTCACTTAAAATACTTCCTTTAAGCACTATATTGTTGGATTATGGTTAAATTGCTTCCAATATTAATGTTTATTATGTTGTTATTATGATCACCATATTGCATGTTTAAAGGGAATATGTAATTGAAAATCACGCCTAATAAGATAATTTGGACGATCGGTTTAGGTTCCTTTTTAATCTTATTGTTACATCAAGTGATTACTAATATTTTAGAATTATGTGTTGCATTAATATTCAACCAATTTAGCCAAATAATAGTTTGGAGCGAATTTGAATATTTTGTTTGCATGCCTTTGAAATCGCATGAATCACTTTTCACTATAAGAATCGAATAGAGGCCAATACAGGCAAATGTGACTCCATGACTCACTTCGTACCATCATCCCCGACCCTCCTTTCATAGTTTTGAAAAATATGGAGTTAGTAATCTCATGGATTACGAATGGGGTGTAACCTTCACGGGTCAATCAGTGTTGCCTTTCGTTGTCCCTTAACAGTGGTTGCCTTAAATGATCCGTGAACGGTTTACAAGTTCCTTAAAAAGCTCCCTACTTTCCTTGTCCCTAATCGTATATGTTAATTCCCGCTTCCTATGAGTGCCAAGCATATTCACACATGCTTTAACGTAGGCGCACTTCGAACGACGCCTACACCTTGGGACTCCAGAGTACTTTAATTGCACACTCATTTACTCATTGGTTCACAAAAGCTAATTTCTGGTTATGGGAAGTCTCAAAATTGGCATAGTCTAGCCACTTTGGTCTCTCTCTTGTGGGCTATTTTGCTTACTCATAATCAAATTGTGTTTAGACAAGCGGTCTGGTCTCCTACTCTAGTCATTCATATTTCTACAAAATGGGTTTCGCGTAGTTCGGAGGCTATACGCTTTCTAGCTCTATTTCGTCCTTCTGGAGACGTCAACTTCCTTGTCCTCCTCCTGCTACATCTGAGTGTTTACACGGATCGAATTCCAGTATTGCATATTGTTGTATAATCTTTGATGGTGCTTAGAATATTCATGATCAGAGTGCAGGGCAGGTTGGATATTTAGAGAGGAGCTTTCCCCTACAGTTTTGGGTGGGTGCGCTCGAGCCTGTCGGACTTCGTCGGCTTTACATTCGGAATTACAAGCTTGCCTATGGGCTCTCCAAGCTGCTAGATGAAAAGGTTTTTTAAGTCCTCTACTTTATACGGACAACACAATTTTGGTTTCCATGTTATGTCGTTCGTGTTCGGATGATATTTCTTGTGCTTGGTTGTCGAGAGCTATCAGAGATATTCTATTACATTTTGATTCTTGTTGGATTTGTAAGGTTCTTCGTCTCTGGGTTGCTCCAACTCACTGGTTAGTTGTTCGTGCTCGCCAACGCCGTTTTCTTTTATGGTTATTTTGATTTTTGTTTGTTTTTGCTATGTTGTGTTGCGTTTTCTTGCTTAAGTTTTCTCAGATATTGTACTTCTGTTTCGTTATATGAAATCTTTGTCCAACAAAAAAAAAAAAAAAAAAAAAAAAAAAAAAAAAATCCTACCAACCCTCAATTCTATTTATGGGCCCAAAAAATTGTAATAGAAAACCTTACACACACAACATTCATTTTCGGATTTCAACCCATTTTTAAATTTAGCCCAAAAATACTTTAAAAAGAAGGAACCTCTAAATTCTGCAATCTCCATTATCCTATCCGTTAAACTCCACTCCCTCAAACTCACTTCTCCAATGGCTTCTCTCCTTTCTCTCTCCTCTGCTCCTCCTTCAACTGTAAATTCCAACAACTACCCATCTTCCAATTTCAAAGGAAACATCAACAATTTCAGAACAAACCCATTTAATTTCACTAACCTCAAACTCAATTTGAGGACCATAATCAAAGAAAAACCTCTTGTTGTTGTTGCTGCTTCTTCTTCTTCAAATGTGGTTCTGAGTAGTGGGTCGGGTTCTGAGACCCGGTTCAGGCTAGATAACCTCGGACCGCAACCGGGTTCGAGGAAGAAGGCGAAAAGAAAGGGAAGAGGTCATGCTGCTGGTCAAGGTGGCAGTTGTGGGTTCGGAATGCGAGGTCAGAAATCGAGGTCTGGTCCTGGTGTTATGAAGGGTTTTGAAGGTGGTCAGATGCCCCTTTATCGTCGAATTCCTAAATTGCGTGGTATTGCTGGAGGTAATCATTTTTGTCTAATTTTTTGGATTAGTTTTATCCTCTAATTTATGTATATTTCTAGTTCATTTGATTATTTTTGTTAATATTGAAGTTCATGTGATTGTTTTTGCTTGGTTGTTGATGTGAATTGATGGATTTTATGAAGCAGCTTTAATGTGGGATTCGAATTAGAATGTTGCTAAATGAGGGATATGTGTATGATATAATACTTGGAAACCGGAATCGAGATTGGAGAGATGTGGATGTGTAATGGTCTAATGGAATGTGTAATGTGTAATGTGATTGAGATGTTTAATTTAGCTGTATTGTGGTATGAGGGCAATGAGGTTGAAAAGTTGAAATTAGGATTTACGGTGTGTTTGGATTGAAGGAAATGGAGGGAAAGGAAGGGAAGAGAAGTGGAGGGAAAGGAAGGGAAGAGAAATGGAGAGATGGAGTATCTTTCATTTGGATAGCAAATGAGGAAGGGAGAGAATTGGAGGGGAGAGAAATGGAAGGATTAAATTGTAGAAAATTAATCCCTCCAACAATGGAGAGATTTGGAAGGAAAACTCACCATTCTTCCCTCCCCTCCCTTTCCCTCCCCTCCTCTTCTCCTCCCTCCCTCCCCTCCTCTTCTCCTCCCTCCCCTTCCTTTATCCAAACAAACTGTTAGGAATGATGGGTTTTCCTTCCCCTTTCTTTATCCAAACAAACTGTTAGGAATGATGGGTTGTGTAATGAAGATATGATTGTTATCCAACATGTTAAGGCCTTGTTTTGTAAAGAGTTTTTTGGAAAGCTTTTAGCTTATTGATCCCTATTTGAAGTAAGGTTCAAGGTTTAACAGTGGCAAAGTGATTGGTTTGTGAGGGGTACTGGGGTAGGGTAAGACCTAAGAAAACATGGAGGGTGATTGAGAATGATATGAATGTCATGGGGATTGAGGAAAATATGGCATTGGATAGGCAGATTGGAGGGAGAGAACCTATATCGAGGATGTGTCGTGACTTTAAATATATGTATATGTATACTTTATTTCTTTTACCTAAACTCATTGTGTTTTGTAAAATCTATTTATTTCCTTAGGGTTTTTACTCGCATGTTTTTCCTCTCTCTTTAATCTCCCCTTAGCCTTCTTTTATAATACTTTCTTAAAATTTATTTTTATATCCTCTTTTGTGGGTTTCACTTTACATTACCTACATTGTTTGCTGACTATGTTTTTCCTCGTATTTCATCCACTTTCAATTTAGTACTTTTCTTCTTTTGTTCATTTTTCACGGATGGTTCTTGTCAAATAAGTTGGATGATACTTAAGCCTAGAAGATAGCATATAATAT